AACAATTTCTACCGGGCTGCCGGTTTGCTGGGTGCCGCCATCTTGTTTTGATGAAAAAGTGCTTCCGGTGAGCTTTTCCGGGTAGAAAGCGGCGTTTGGGTGCTGAAAGAATCCTCGCGCCTTAGTTTCATTGAGGGGGGGGGCGGCTTTGAACAAAACTAAGGCGCGAGGATTTTTTCAGCATGCATGGCAAGGCGAGCCGAGCGACTGTCCCGAAGCCGTCGCGAAGCCCATCGACACAGATACAAAGGAGGAGTTGAAGGTGGCGGGGAGAAGCAGGGGTCGGCTGGCCGGCCGGTCGCTCGGCTCGCCTTGCCATGCGTGCTGATGCTGGTACCAGGCCGTGGATGATTTTGTGATGCCGGTACCGGGCCGCGGCACAAAAAAGGTTGGGGACCACTGCTCTACCTGACTCTGTGGTTTCTTCCCCAAACCCCAAAAACTTTAACTTTAGACTGTCTACTATTGACCTCACCCCTTTCCTAAGAGGTCTGTAGGCGGCATACATAAGCACACCAACGTGCCTACCGTCCCTATCCTATTGTTTCTTTTATTTTTATTATTTTTCTTATACGTATCCATGAATTTATAACTATGTTTTTACTTAGACATATTATCTTGTAAGCAATTGACAAAAAATAAAATAAATAAATATTTGCCACTATTGCATATTGTCTATTGTGTATCTCAGTTAGCATTTCTCATGTTTACATGTTCCCATAACTTGCACAGCTAAAGTGCCTTATGCACTCTAGGAACTTTTGAAGTTAGTTTCCCTGAATACATTCATCGTTTGAAATACATGAATTTTCGATACAGCCTTTCTAAAATAAACTAAATACATTTCTGCAATAAAGCTGTTTTTTTTAATGACATTGCACACTTTTTAGTAACTTTCAAAAGTGGTATTCAGCAGGTTCTGACCAGTTCTGGAGAACTGGTAGCGGAACTTTTGAGTAGTTCGGAGAACAGGCAAATACCACCTCTGGAGATTTTACAGTATCCTTCCCCTGCCATGCCCACCAAGCCACGCCCACAGAATCAGTAGTAAAAAAATTTGAATCATACCACTGGTAACTTTCAAAGGTGTGTTTGCTTTTAGATGCGGGTGCCCAGGAATCTTGTAGTTTCAAAATTTGTACAATGGTAGTTGTGAAAATTGAGCCATTTTGTGCATCAGTGAAATGTTGATGTATCTACAGAAAAGCTTTGGGATTCTTTTGTGAGCTATGACCAACATTTTCCAGATTTTGACCCCTTCACATGAATGCAACCAGGTGAAGGGATTATAGAAGAGGAAATGTGTAGCTTGGGGGTCTGTTGTGGTTAGCCAGCAGCAGGTGCAGATGGCTGAGGAGAGCGAGGACTCTGATGAGGAGCCAGGACCATTAGGGAGTGGACTGCTGCTTTCAGAAATTTTGGGGGCTGGCAGCAGTGACGAGGAGGTTCTCGAGGAGCCTGTGCCAAGTGTTCGTGAGCACAGGATGATTCGTAGAAGAGAAGAGCTGGAGCAGCACAGGAAACTTGGGAGTTAGGATTCAAAGTAATGGCCCCTCCCTCCAGGGAATATCAGCCTGTTTTCAAAAGGTTTTTGCTTTTGCCAAAAGCAAAAACATTCTGAGGATCCAGCATTGTGTGTAGAGACTCCGGCTTATCTGACGAATTCTGTCAAGGCTTTTCTGGTTGGACTAATTGGCTGCAAGCCATCTTTTATCTACAAAGAAGTTTATTTGTAGATTAAAGCTGTGAAGGTTTGAGTTCCTGCATTTGTTTGAGATTTTCTTGCTGGTAACAGGGTTGAGTCAGAACAGGGTCCAACTGTGGGGTCCTTGGTGCTCTCTGAGCTTGGTTGTTATCTTGCAGACATTTCATTACCAAACTAGGTAACATCATCAGTACTAGAAGGGAATGGGATTAAACCAGTGGTGAGATTCAAATATTTTAACTACCGGTTCTATGGGCGTGGCTTGGTGTGTGTGGCTTGGCTTGGCTTGGTGGGCTTGGCATGGTGGGCGTGGCAGTGGAAGATTAATGCAAAATCCCCATTCCCTCTCACTTCAGGGGGAAGATTACTGCAAAATCCCCCCTCCCCACCCCAATAACTTGCTTTCCAGCTCCGTTCTCCTGTGCAGGGTAACAAAAGAAGACCCAGCTGATCAGCTGGGACTCGGGAGGCAGAGAATAGATGGGGGCAAGACCAGTCAGGGGTGGGATTCCAAACTACTCGAAATTTCTGCTACCGGTTCTCCGAACTACTCAAAATTTCCGCTACCGGTTCTCCAGGACTGGTCAGAACCTTCTCAAAACCACCTCTGGATTAAACCACTCCATTCTAGCACTGATACTGTTACCTAGTTGGGTAATAACCCCACTTCTTTCTAGCACTGATGATGCTACCTAGTTGGATAATGAAATGTCTGCAAGAAAACAACCAAGCTTAGAATGCACCAAGGACTCCACAGAGAAGGGATTGTATAGTTGTGCACCTCCCTCCAAAGTCAGGTGCTAACAATCTTAATTCACTGCTACATGGACAGTGCAGCGGAGACTGTTATGCCAATTCTTATACATCAATGGCCATTGAAATCCATGCATATCTTTTTCACATATAAAACTCTCATTAGCTCTCACACTATTCTTAACAGGTTCTTATCTTTCCTATTACCGCAAATACAAATCCTGAGCGGTTTAGTCGATGCTGAAAGAAATTCTCCCACCCCCTCTTATCAGTGTCTTCCATCATGTAAAAAATATCACCCCCACTCCCTGCTTAACTGTTCTGCTTAAACAGCCTTTATATCCTTCTCCTGGTTAAGTAACTGCTGAAAGCATAGATTGTGAATTACAGGTATTGGCAGTGCATCTTGTAGGTTATCAGAGAACATTTAATTCAGTCCACCGTGAGGATAAATCTAATGTTTAATCCTCTATTCACTCTGTAATCATCTCTCTATTGATCGTGGTGCTTCCCTTCTCTTCTGCTAAATGCCTGCACAGGGTTTTAGAAAGTTTTGAAATGAATGGATGGAAGAGACCGATTCCAATCTGATACATACACATCATTCAATTGAAAACATTTGCCTTTGGTGGTAAAATTAATGCCGCTTGTTGAAGAACAAATAGAAGCATAGGAAGTTACCATCTATTGCCTTGTTTATTGGAAAGTCACAAATGGTGTTGGCGTGACTCTGGAATGCTGCAAGAGTTATACATACATGCCAGTTTACCAAGCACTCAAATTGCGATTGTATGACAGCACCGCAGGGATGCTGCAATATTCATAAGTGCAATGATGATGGTCGTAAGTCACTTCGTTCAGTGCTGTTGTAACTTTGAATGGTTGCTAAATGAATGTTCGTAACTTAAGGACTAATGTGTTTGACTTAAACTAAGACATAGGAATCTACCATAAGCAGCAGTATGCCATAGCTAGCTAGCTAGCTAGCTAGATAGGCAGGTAGGCAGGCAGGCAACATAGACACACACACACACACACACACACACAGAGGGAGTGTGTATGATAAATAGGAAAATAGGTAGTGTCAGCTTTGGAATCCATATTAGCACCAGATGCTTCCACACTGCCATGTTCTTGAGCCTGGGAAAATGGGAGGGGGGAATTTCTTGGAGCGTATGGAGTTAGGCATAATAGCATTCTTCTGTTAAGTCAAGATCATGTTAATTCTGCACCTGATTGAGCGGATGTCCCAAGTTGGGACAGATGGTGATTGGGACATGTGATGCAATGATGAGTACAGGGGGTAGATTTGTAATTTTTTACTTATTGCAAGGAAATCCGGAACTTTCACATTTGGGATTTCCCAGATGTGCCAGTTTACTACTCTAATAAAAGGAACCTTGGAGAAGATGTCTGTCTTGGAATTATTTGTTGGAGTTGAGATTTTCTGGAACGCTGACAGGTAGATATAGACAGACAGGCAGACAGACATAGAGAGAGAGAGACAGAGACAGATATCTGTCTGTTCAGCATTGATTTTTAGCATTTTCTGTATGCAAAGTATGTTTTTTCTTTCACTTAGCCATGGCAATTCCTCTAAAGATAAATTTAAATGTCCAGATTTCATGCTTCTGTCTAATGACTCAAGAGGGCTGAGTTTGCATATCATGCTCAATGAACCTATTTTCCACTTTTAAACAATACATTAAGTTTGGCCAATATTCAAAATCATTCACTAAACAGATTGGGTTCTCACAACATTCTAAGCAATGAAAACCCAGAGCACTTCAGCTAAGCGTGTGAAATATAGCAGTTTGTGCAAATGCATCTTTCACCTGGTTAAGCATGTCATACGAACACAGTCACTGAGTCAGAGCATTGAACGATCCATCTAATTTAGACTCAGATACATTAGAGTTGAACAAAATGTGATGCCTTTTTTTCAAACATTATCAAGATGCAACACTTCTCATCCTATTCCATAGGTTTGAAGAAAGAATGACATCCATGGTTATAAGGGCCTTTTGTACAGGTTGCCCTGTGCACTAATTGTGCCTGTTTTTGGATTGGGAAACCATATTCAGAGAAATTCATGTCTGAGTCATCTCCTGGCTGGATTACTTTAATGGGATATACAGCATATAAGGCTGCCCTTTAAGAGCATTCAGGAACTGCATCTGGTTCAGAATGCACTGGTGCAGTCAGTTTTGGGTGCTTTCTGTTATCCCAACATGGCACTTGTGTCTCCAAATGAGTTTCAGGTGCAATTCAAGATGATGGCTGTCACCTCTAGAGTCCTGATGTAGGAGATGAACAGGCTGAGGCCCAAGGGAGAGGTCAAGTGCATCATCAGTGTTGAGTCCCTTTAGGCCCACAAGATATTTAAATCCAGCCCACCTTAAATTTGCGGATTCTTATCCACCGCCAATTTGCCTTGACTGTTAGTAGTTCAGATTCTTGTAGAGAGTGTTGGCATGCAATCAACCTGTAGTCATTCAGTCCTCCATGCTTCCTGATTTCTTGCATTTGCCATTTACATTACATGGGATCAGGATACTTGCAAGACGATCTGTCTGCTAGTTTCTGCTTGCCCTACTGGAACCAACAGGGTTGGTATGGCCCAATATCTTTCCATCAGGAAATGTCATCTTAGGGATAGCGATAGCACTTACATTTATACACCGCTTCACAGTGCTTTACAGCCCTCTCTAAGTGGTCTTACAGAACATATTGCCCCCAACAATCTGAGTCCTCCTTTTACCTACCCTGGAAGGATGGAAGGGTGAGTCAACCTTGAGCCGATGAGAATCGAACTGCAGGCAGCTGAGAGTCAGCAGAAGTAGCCTGCAGTACTGCATTCTAATCACTGCACCACCATGGATTGTGCTTTCAGTGCCTGCTCTATGGGTCACTGTCCCCGTAGACACCCAGAGACATTCCAACTCAGTTGGCTTTTTATAAGGCATTAAAAACAGAGCCTCAGGCTGTTTCATTGAATTCCACAAAGTGGCACTTCCAGTCTTCCTGAGTCTGTAGTGATTCTCAGTAATCCAAGTCATGGTTGTCCCAAAAGAGCTTTTTCAGGAGGCAACTGGGCTTCCTTGTTGTTGTTTTTCTTTTGAAAACATTTTCCTTCTCATCCAAGAAGGTTTTTCAGCTCTGAAGGAGCCCACTATCCTGTCAGAGCTGAAGAAGCTTCTTGGATGAGAAGTGAAACGTCTTCAAATGAAAAAACAAAGACAGCCCAGTTGCCTCCTGAAAAAGCACCTTGGGACTTCCAGTCATTATGTGAAAAGATTTTCCCCAAAATGTGATCATTATTATTATTTTTCCTCCTCCTCCTCCTCCTCCTCCTCCTCCTCCCCCGTTATAAACAGAAGGATGTCGCAGTGAAGCCACCTGACCTAGGGAACAAGCATCAAGATCCCTTAGCAAAGAAGAAACGGGAAGTGCTTGCTAATGGGTTGCCCTACCACCTAAAAAAGAGCCGGTTGCACTATCACCACTTCCACCATTACCATCACCACTACAATTCAGATCGGGAGAATGACCTCAGCCTCTGTCAACATCTCAGGAAACGGAAGAAGTTCTTTAAAGGGCTCCGACAGGTAAGTAGTCAAACTTTTGGGGTGTTTTCTTTTGAAAGTACTACAACCTCTGCTGTCTTGGGCATGATTTCTTTTCTGGTTATTGGTGTGCTGTAATAGCTCATCAGAGATTGAATAGCTATGTGTCTGAAATGCTACAGGTGTTGGACCAGTAGAGCTTCAAGGTCTCTTCCAATTCTATTATTCTGTTCTGCTATTCTGTTATTTCTTGAGGTTGGACCACTGCAGTTGTTTCTCTGCGAAGGACCACGGGTGAAAAAGAAGCATAATAGTCTTGATGATGTTATATGAGCAGGGATGGGATTCTCCAGGTGTAACAACCGGTTTGCTAATTGCGCTCTTTGCGCACGCATGTGTGCACAGCTATCACAATCACTTACCTTCAATGATACTTCAGGGAAGTAACACAGCTGAGGCGTGGCAATCCGCTTGGCTGTGCGAATCAGCTGAGCAGATATAGGTGAGTACAGCGCAGGGGTGGGCAGGCGGGCCCACATGGTTGTTGGATCGAACCGGTTTTGAGCCAGCTGATCATCGAAGCTAGGGGTTCACCCAAACCGGTCCAAACCAGAAGAATCCCACCCCTGTATATGGGCATTTGAGGTGGTTCACTCTCGGCGTCAAGAGAGCATCTGGGATGTATTTCTGGTCTCCAGGAGTCAAGTTTGGATCAAGAGAGACTTTTCCTTTCTTTAACTCTTCCAAAATGGGAGTTACTCCATTGCAGGAGTCAATGCGGTTGAAGTCAGGTGTGGCTGTATAATAAAAATAGGGTTGACGCCTCAGATTGTGGACACCAAGCCAGAAGAGAAGTGGTTGAGCTTGCAAGCATAATTTGAATCTATTTCTGGCGTTTGGCTCCCCCATTTTTTTTGTTTCTATTTACTGCTACAGTTTTGTACTAATGGGAAGATTAATTGAAATGCAGATCATTAATTAAAGATAATTAAGGACAAAAGAATAGAGAATTAACTGTAAGCAAAACAAATCCAAATGAGAGTTATCTGTTGCAGGAACTGGCTGCTTCCAGAAGACATCTTAAGTGGTTTAATGAACAGATGGACTTCTTTTCCCTTGTCATCTGGCTCAATCTGTTACTCAGGCCCTTTAGTACTTGTTATCTGGAAAGTGAAACTAGACTGGATAGAGGATAATCTTCCAGCAGCCCTGTCTTGAAAGGGCTATATGATCCATGGATTCAGAATCAGGTGCATGTCCAGCTTCAGATAAGCAGGGGAGAGATTGCTTATGTTTTGCAGTGCATTTCGGGTCTCTAAATTATTCTCTACTATCCAACTTTTGGTGTAATTCAGAACTTATTCATGATCTTCATTTTTTTATCGTAAAGTGTAAACTCTTGGGACTATTTTGGAGGAAACAGACAGGGGAAAGAGTCCTTGGTTTCTCCCTGAGCTTGGTTGTTTGTTTGCAGACGTTTCATTACCCAACCTGGTAACATCATCAGCGGGGACAGAGTATGGCATTTGCTTCCTGTTTGTATACAGTATCTTGCCCTGCCTGTATTGATGAGAGTGCGGTTTTATTCTTGGTCATTCCTTGAATAGGTTATTATTTTTTATTTGATTATTTGCTTGGGATTAATCCCTGCTTATCTGGTGTTGGAAGCTGGAGAGGATGTGTTCTGATTTTTTCGTTTCCTTATTAGCTATTTCATTGAACTGTGTGTAAATATGATTTATCTCTATGTGTGGTTTATCTAAATGTGTAAATGGGGTTTATCTCTCTCTCTTCTAATGGAGGGAGAAATGGTTAAACATCCTATCTCCTCTTCCTAATCTGAATGTTCCTTGAACTTGTCAAAGGGGACAGATATGGCAGCATATCTTAATTATCCACTTTTGTTCTCCTTTGATGGTGTCGAGCATCCTCCTGTTGTAAAAACAATGGTTTGCCTCAGGAGATTTAGTTCTTAGAGCAAATTAATTCTTAAGAGGTTTGGAAACGCATGAAAACAGGAAAGAGCTTCTCGGAGAAAGCCATTTTAGCTTTTAAATAAGGTTTTCACTAGTAACCATCATCCAGTGGATCAGATGTGAGAATTTCATTCTCCTTTTCCAATTTTGCTCATAGGGGTGTGAATTCTCTTCTGAATGTCTGGGAGGAAGTGAGAGAGATAGCTGTATACGAGGGTGTTGATAGGCAAGGCATGCATAACATGAGACCAGATGCTATCTCAACTTTCTCAGTCTAGTGCCCTCCAGATATGTGGAATAATTCATCTTCAAATTCCAAGCCAGCGTGCCCAAAGGCTCTTAAGTCGAGTGAGATTCTATTATGATGTATTTATACTATTACTGTATATTTTATCATGTATCTCAAATGTCAACCACTGCAACGTTTCCGAGTCTTTATATGAATCGTCATTTCTGTGACCACTAACTGTAAAGTGTGATTTATCGTATTCCTTCATCCAGGATACTCTTATTCATTTCTGGAAATCTCAAGCATGCAAATGCAACAAACCTGAGCGTATCAGAAAGAGAGCTCTGGAGATGGTGACTAGCCTAGAGATTAGTGAAGTGCTCAGTCTAACATTTTGGAAATTGATCATTCTGGAGAACTCTATAGAAGCGTTTCTCAACTGTAGCCCTTTTAAAATGGATCGACTTCAACTCCCAGAGTTCCCTAGACAGCATGCGGAATTGAAGTCCACCCAGAATTAAGGTTGAAAGACATTGCTCTAGAGATTCCATTCCAAACTGAGACCACGCTGAGCCACCGGTTTTCTGGGATGACCTGGCAGTTTTCTGGAAGTCAATTATAGGAGAAGGAATGACAGAACCCGGGGGCAGAGTTAAAAAAGGGATCCGCCTAGAATCCCTACATAGCCACAAATGAACTAAGTCAAACCTCCCTTGAATTCCTCTGATCCTGATCTAACTACAAGCAGGTGCTAACTATTAGTTGAGATGAATCGAGAGCATAGAGCATGATTAGCAACAAATAGTTTAATGGAACCTTCATGTGTGGACCTGATCTTTCATGCTGGAAATCAAACAGAAAGCAGTTGGATTCTTAGCAATACTTTCCCAACGCAAGAGGCTATGGAATATCAGTAGCTTTGGAAACAGGAAACTCCTGACCCTGTTAGTGTGATTGGATGCTGCTAGATCTAATGTCAAGGAATGCTGATTGGGTTAGTGGATGGCTGTACAGTATATAAAATGAACCGTAGCAGTGACTTTTTGGGTTGAGGTAGAAGCTGCTGGTTATGATCTTGCTTGACAGATGGTTAATGTAATGACAACAAAGTTCTATCTTTTGTAAATAAAATGACACTAAACAACCCAGAACTTGTTGTTTGTTTGCTTGATTTTTTTTCCTGACAAAGCACCTGAACAGAATGCAGAAGCAGAAGGTAAAATGTGGAACAAGGAAATACTGGAAGAATGCATACAGATGTTCTTCTAAACTATTGCGCGACTATACATATATAGCAAAATTAAATAAAAAATCACTACAAAAGGAGCACGTACTATTGTTATTGACAAAATAATCAGCTATAAAATCTGAGCATACTTGTAATCCTCGACTTACTACCTTTCGGTTAGTGACTATTCAAAGTTACAATAGCTTTGAAAAATGGGACTTAAAACTGGTAGCTATGTTTTGGCACTTATGACCATTGTAGCATCCCCACAGTCACATGATCAAAGTTTGGGAGCTTGACAACTGGCATGTATTAATGACAATTGCAGTGTCTCCAGGGTTTTGTAACTATTATTTGTAACCTTCCTAGCCAGTGGTGGTATTCTACTGGTTCAGGTTGGTTCGACCGATAGTAAAAAATGTTACAATTCTGCCAAACCGGTAGTAAAAAAACAGCTACCGGTTCAACCGAACCGGTATTTCTTTTTTTTTTTCCTCCCAATGATCAGATATTCTAATGATCAGCTGTGCCAGGATCCCTCTCACTGTCTTACTGATTCGCCCAGGAGGCTTCCCTGAGGCCCAGGACGCAAAAAATCCCAGAGCGTGGGAGGTGCTGCAAAAAAATAAGAAGCCATGCCCACCCAGTCACATGGCCATGCCCACCTAGCCATGCCCACCTTGCTACACCCACAGAACCGGTAGTAAAAATATTTGCATCCCACCCCTGTTCCTAGCTAGGTGTCTATGGAGATTCTCAGTCATCGTGGTTGTCCCAAAAGTGCTTTTTCAAGAGGCAACTGGACTTTCTAGTTTTTCTTCAAAGTCCACATTTTGGACAGAGAGGACTGCTGGTTTGAAAGAGGGGTCAAAGAGGCCATCTATGTCAAAATTGAATGGCCTTCTCTCAACAGAGGAGGAGGGATACGACATCATCTATCTCCAATCTACAACACAGTCCTTTCAACAGTTCCAAGAAGACTTCACATCCATTTGCACCACTCAGGTGACCCTGATGACGTAGATCAGTGGTAGCTAACCTTTTTGGACTCCTGTGCCAAAAATTTTGTGCGCGTTTGCACGCTCGCGCTCACATGCCAGCACACAGAAGGCAATGGGCATCCCCCTACGCCCCCTACTTATGCATGCGCAAACCCCACCCATTCACCCCTGCCGTCCCCTTACCTGCACAGCGCCTCACAGCTGATTTTTGACGAGCTTGAGGCCTTTTTCGGCCTCCCAAAGGCTTGAGGAAGGCTCCTGCAGTCTTTGCAGGCCAAAATCTAGTCCCGTTTCATTACTTCCGGTATTTTCGGAAGAACAGGAAGTGATAAAACGGGGCTAGTTTTCGGCCTGCAAAGCCTGCAGAAGCCTTCCTCAAGCATTTGGGAGGCAGAAAAGGCCTCAAACCCATCGAAAATCAGCTGTGAGGCACACACATGCTCAGTGAGGTAAGTTTGCCTGCGGCTCGCGTGCCGGCACAAATGGCTCTGCATGCCACCTGTGGCACGCACTCCATAGGTTCGCCATCACGGAAATAGTTAAACCTTCAGGTGGCCTCAATGACTCTCTAAAATAATGCAAATGACCAGCTATCTGCAAGGAATATA